TGGGTCGGGTGTGGCGGCTGTGCGCGCGAGGATTAATTTGGCATACCTTCGCGGGACTTTCGCCCGATCGTTGTCCCGCTTTGATCGTTCGCGACGATGCGCTTGTAATAAATTCGCGCGCACACCAGCGATATGTTTCCCGAATATGCCGACGCGCCTTCTCTCCCTCTTCCTTCTCGTCTGTATCTTTCTCCCCGTGCACCGCACCGAACACACACGTTGTTTTAATGACGGTGAACTAAGTTCGCGATCGAGGTCGCACGCTTAATTAACGAACGTCGAACGGTCGCTGGAACTCCAAGAGAAGAAAGAGAACCAAGAGGAACGCGAGCAATCGCGTCAGCGCAACTTTCTTCGGGACGCAAGAATGTCCGTGCAAAATCCCTCAGGACCAATTTCTCACCATTTCGCGTTATTCTTCTTGTTGTTTTGAAATTGAAGGAGACGCTGGAATCGATGGCGAACTCCGTCGATAACGTAGAAAGATTGTCACTAACATGATCATACATATGTATTTACTAAAGATGTGCGAATCAAAGATTTTTTTTGTCGAGTCGAATCGAATCGAATTTCAGATTTTAATTTCGAATTCGAATTAAATCGAATCGATGAAATTCGAATCAAATTAAATCGAATGAAATCGAATCGAATCGTTGAATTTTTACTTAACATAAAATTTTTACTTAACATACTCATTGAATTCAACATGAAAATAGTGACTTCAATATGAGAGAGATTACATTGATCATATGATATCAGTTCATTTTAAAGTAAGAAATATATAATATATTTCCAACCATGAAAGCTGCGCAACGACACATATCGGTCCAATAGTTATCGGTAAGAGTTTATCTAGAAGCCAATATCTTTTTTTAATATTTTTAAAGAAAATCTTAATGTATAATAAACTTTTCAAGTCAATTCTTTCAAGCTGATTCCCGTAAAGCTGGATGTCTTTAATAGTACTTCATTGACGTTAATGTGTGCGATCCGTATTCAAATCTTTTTGATTCAAAATTTTCGAATTGTTCGGATTCGAATTTCACTTTATTCGATTCGATTCGAATTCGAATAGTTCGCACATCTCAAGTATTTACGTTGACTGACAATTTGAGATATTAATTTTAATGTTTTTATTATTTTTGTCACATATTGAACAATACTCCAATTTGTTATAGTGCACTTTTAGTATGTAAAAGTTTTTGTGATTCTGTACAAGCAGTACGACGTAGTCTTTGCAGAAGAACGTCAGTATTGCATCGATAATGTTTGCAAGTATAGTATCTCCTTAAAGTGCCTCTAATCCGTTTACATATCCACTTATAATATAGTGTTGTTCTTGTCGAGTGTGACCTTGTCATGTTACTCCGCGGAAGATCACTTAATAAATCGAGTGCCATTGCTGGGGCGAGATGTCGAGAGCCGTCTGACATGTGTCGCGTGTGTTGTGTAAATAACTCGCAGCTGCGAGCTTGACAGGAAGTTATTGACGGCACTTTAATCGTGAATCGCTGTTTCATGATGAGAGACACACACACACAAAACATGCACACACGACGAGCGGGTCGCGGTTATTACTGCTAATTAAGGGCGTGTAATTGGGTTGCGCCGTCGCGGAAGGGTCACGTTGTTCTCATGAGACGTCTGCGTGGCATTTCATTCAACAAGATTACGCCGTTCTACCGAGGTTCATAATTTCCCCGCCAGCCGTTTCTTATTAGTCGCCGTTTTTTTCGCGCCTCGATGCGATCCTTACCGACGAGATAAAGAGAGAGAGAATGAGAAAGAGAGAGAGAGAGAGAGAGAGAGAGAGAGAGAGAGAGAGAAACAAATATTCTTGTTGAAATGCATTTGTCTTGTCAGGAAATCCAAGTTTCTTCCATGGCGGTATTGTCTTCATGTTTCAGTCTTAAAGATTCCGGGAATATTATTCTATCGTTTTTAATTTGAATGATAAAATATTAGCAATAACGGTGTCTATTTCAGATACCTGGTGGGTAAGTACTTAAATTACTGGGATATCTGAGTAGTCGAGTATTTAGTAAATTATTTTTATTGTTTTTTTTATATTATTGTTTTTTTATATACGTTTTAAGACATTCTATGAATAAAAGTATTAATGTAAGGTCGAAGCAAGAGATAAGTATATACTTTGAGAAATAAGTAGTTTTTATTTCAAAATATGTGAAAATAAAATATGAAATATCTGACAAAGTATTCACTTTTTATTGATCTTAATCTTAATACTTTTATACGCAAATTGATGAAGATATATTTATGTAAAAAAGAGATAATTGTAATAAGACAATTTTTTCCCTAATACCGAGCTAATTCCAACGAATTTAAATAACTGGACACCCGAGTATATAATTGCCCAGTTTATATTGACAGCATTAATTAATAAGGATTCTTTACAGAGTGCCCAAAAAATATTTTTACAAGATTTTTAAATTCGAAAGGTTACATTTCCGCTCTTTTATATTGCAGCTGTATTGATTGTTCAATTGCTAAAATATTAATTTGTGGACGTGCAGCGCGCAGTAATGTTTAATATCTCTTCTCTACAGAAGAGACTCTTCTCCGGGTGTTCTGAACCGGCAAAACCGACAGGGGAGGCACTCTGAGCGGATTATGTCCGAGTGTGTAACGAGCATGTGGAAATTAATCGCTGCGAAGTGAAAGCGTCGAGCACGGCACAGCAGGGCGAAAACGAGGCAGGGGGGAGCGCGGAGGACACAGGAAAAAAATGTAATTATCGACCTGCCCGCGGAGGGAAGAAGCTCTCGGACTAATGGTCGAGCCAACGGGAAGGGTGACTGTCAGTTCGCAACGCGGATGCTCTCGTTCTCTCTGCGAAATACAAGGATTCGACATTAGCGCGAGGATACTCCCGCAGTCGCCGAAGGGTCGGCTTCTCGACCAGCCGGTGAGTCGATTCGACGAGTGCGACGATAAAGTTTGAGAGTTCGACGAGTCGGGTGAAATTGAAAATCCAGTTGCCCAGAATTGGAGAAGTTACCTTTTTAAAAGTTACTCGTTATCGTTACTTGTGTGTGTGTTACCCGTTGAAACAAAAAACTTGTTAGTGTTACTCATTTTAAAATTGCTCAGAGTAAAATGTAAAATATATCATACGAAATATTCACTTTTCATTCTTTTATACGTAGATACGTAAAATATATTTTCGAAAGTAGAATATATTTATATAAAGAAAATATAATTCTATTAAACAATCTTTTTTTTCAGAGTATGTACCTAATTTATACTAGCAGCACTAATTGATTGATCCTTATAGGAAGCTCGAGGAAATATTTTTGCGGAATTCTTAAACTCGAATTGATTTATTTAAAACTCATTTTGCTCATTTGAAAAAGTAACTCCTTAGAGGAGTGAAGGATTTTTATATACAATTTTATATTTTCCTTTTATATATAATTTTACATAATTATATTGTAAAAAATCTTGCGTACAAATGTTAAAATTCCCTTGTGTTACTAATTTTTTATTATTATATTATATTATATATTCAATGTAAGACATTAATATACAACTGATATGTTATTCTTTTCATGTTTAACGTGTTATATTAATGTTAACTTCATAACTTAACAATTTATGTCATTTAAAAATATTATTTTAAGTTTTAATAATATTTTTTTAAATAATAATTATTTAAAAAATCAACATTTTTTAAAGTCACTTTGATATTGACAAAAGTTAAGGTGATCAGACGTCTCGATTTTTTCGAGACAGTCCCGATTTTTCACCCTTTGTCCGAATTTTTTCGAATGCTATTCGGGACACCGATTTGTCATCATTTTCAATGATTGTCAAGTAATTTTCGGATCTTTTTAACCCGCTCTCCCTTCTCCCGCTTCACAGATTTATGAAATTTCCCGAATTCAGAGCTGAGAAATCTGGTCACCTTACATATACCGCGAGGAGAAACGAGAAGATTACTTACAAATGACGTCTTCACGATACCCGGCGATCGCACATCGCTATTCTCGACACTCCCGATACTTATTTCCGTGCGAGACTTACTTTCGACGGGTTAAAGACGCATAAAATGCGGGCCGATGTTAGTCGTTGTGTCCACGGCGGTTGCTCGATGCAGAAAGATCGAGAATCAAAATGGTCGCGCGATTGTTGAATCGCGCTGAAAATATACGCCAATATATGAACGACGCCACATCCGAAGAGAACGCGCTCTATGAGATATTTCTCTCTCCGTATTTCTTTTCCTAATAAGTTGACGCAACCGCCCGAATATTCCGCATCTCTCTCACTTTCTCTCTGATTGTCATCGCATTTGTGTTAAATTAATATGAAAATTTAAGTAAATTTCTAAGATATTGGTGTTATATTTGACATTCTATATTTGTCAATTTCATACAAAATTTGTTTCAAGATAGTACTTGTTTCGTTTTTTGACATAATATATTTGTGTTTCTTTTTTAATATATCTGTTTTGTGTTAAATTAACACGAAAATCTAAGTGAACCTTCTGGGACATGTGAAATATGGCCGCGTAAACTAGAAAACTTAACGATATTAAAATTTTTATTGTACATATGTATTCTTTTTTGTTCACACGTCACTTGTCGATCCTGATTGAAGCAGCGCCGAATTACACCCAACCTTGACACAAAGCACTTCTTTATCCGGCGCGAAGGTTACACGAGCGTCCTCATAATGTTGCCTAACATTGACAATGCTGTCAGCTCACGAATAAAGTAGTTGTAACCAACGTTAAATGCATGGTCACGACATGGGATTGTGTCATTAGGCGAATTGCGAATTGCCGATTGCCGGTTCATGGTTAAGCACCGGCTCCTTCTTCATTGTGTCGCGGAAGCTCGCCGCTTCCCTTCGCCACCTCTCGTCCCGTCTCATCGCGTCGCGTCCTCATGGATGCCCCGAAGGTACGAATTTCTGCAAATTTCATGAAATTAGCCTCTCTCAACGAGATCGGTGCCCCGTATATCAGCCGCGGACAGCCCGTCGACAGCCGGCAGTCTTTATAAAGTTACGACGACAGCTAGTTTACGCGGCTCGTCGCTTACGTTTGCGGGCTTCGACATTAGCGGTATCGAAACGCACAACTTCTACAACCCCTGTGTTTTTGCGTGAGTGAACGAGAGAAGCATGGCCATCGAAACGTGCGCCCGTGCACTGTTATGCGCGCTCGTAATCGCGCTCGTCGTGGTGAACCAGGCAAACGCCGTAAGTCCTGATCCAGTTGTGATCGTCTCGGTGTGAACACCCAATCGCGTTCCACGAGAAGGAGAGCAGAGCTGGGAGGTTACTTTCTCGAAAGAAGCTCGTTAGGGGCGACTGGACGAAGTCGACCCAACAGTTATGTTGGCCATGAGCTTCATTTGTTGTAAGAGAAACAGTGGAGAAAGAGCGCAAGGAACTAATGCCGTTGCCAGATCATTACTAAAGAAAAGCAATGCGCAACGATAACGGCGGCCCCTTTTTCTTACTTAGAGACATTTTCTCTGTTCTGAGGGAGCATTTCGTAATTCTCTTCCCACTGTTGCTCTCGCAATGAATATATAAACGAAACATGACTAACACATGACTTTTGGGTCAACTTGATCCCCTTTTCCGTATGGTGCGCATTACTTATTTTCATAAATAACTCGTTATCAGAAATCAAGAAGCAACGAATAGTGCTGTCTTATGTCTCTCATGTCTTTTCTTTTTTTAAGTTTTTTTTATATAATTTGTTTTATACACATGCTATCCTCATTAATTGGACTCCTTCGTCAATTTTTTTATATAATATTTTTCATGTCAATGTTTCTTCTTTGTCGGAAATAAAGGCTGATGATGTACAAAATGTAAAAAATGATGATTTTGACCAACTTTATGTGCATTTACTTTAGAGATTCCAAATTTTTTTAAATATTTCTAATAATGTGTGTCCTCATACTGATCTTTCTCCTTAAAATCCAGTTTTAATCGTCTTCATATGATATTTCGTTTCCAAGATATAACATTTTAAAGTATACATCTTTAAGGATTTTAAAGAGAAAGATTAGTAATATGCGATGACATTAACAGAAATATTAAAAAAAATTAGTGTCTTTAAAATAAATGCATAAAGTTAGTCAAAATCATCATTTTTGACATATTTAGCTTCATTTATTTCGGAAACCTAATGTAAAACATAATGAGCAAATTCTGAGGCCAAATTCGGATTCAGCTCATGAAATTACATAGCAAACCACTACCAAATCTCAACATAAAACCATGCAGGCCTGTGTTACTGAACTATTCTATATTTGTATAAATAAACGCACTACATAGACCACATTAAAATAATTGAATTTTGTTGTAATTCAGGCGATGACAATGGAACAGATCGAGAAGACAATGGCGACAATGCGAAACAACTGCGCGTCGAAGGTGAACGCGGATATAGGTGAGCGGTTCCGCGATTTATTTTGTTAGATTCGTGAGAAAAACGACAGAGGATAAATGAGAGAGGAAAGCGAGGAATCTCGACGACGCAGTGGGGACATATAAACATTTGTTCAAAATTCTCTACCGTAATTTTTAATCGATCGAAACGAATCTTTTTTTGAAATTATAGGTAATAAATTTAAATCGATCGAAACGAATCTTTTTTTGAAATTATAGGTAATAAATTTAAAAGAAAACTGTAGAGCTGAAAAAAAACTCCCCTGAAATTTACAATATTAATAACAATCTAAAAATCATGACACTGAATTCGCATTCAAATCAAACTCCACACTTTTCTTTCAAATTTATTAACGATAAATTTCAAAAAATATTCGTCCTAAGTTAAGAATTATCGGTCTGTAGCGATTTTTGAACAGTAAATTTTCATTTGTCCTCACTGTGTGACGCGTTGAATAACGACGTTCGCGAAAACGGAACCGCGCATACAATTTTGCCAAGCAATTGCAGCGATTTTTGCTTTAATTACCATTCACGTCTTCCGGATATTACTAATGTCCGCGCGGACACTACTCTTTAGCATTGCGCTATTCTTACCGACATCGGATTTTCCCCAGCCAAACTTGCGTCATTTTTAATCTTCTCAGCACACCAAAGAGAAATTCAACAGTAAAATATTGAATGCAAGATATAGTTCAACTCGATTATAATTTTGTACAAAAAAAGAAAGAAATTTTTTAACACATTGAGATTTCCACGAATTGTATGAAAGTCCTACTAATAATTGAATTATTAGAGACACAATAAATTATTGTAATTCGAGATACGATATCTTTTGTTCTTTATCAGCAGCGCAACCAATTTTTGTAGATGTAATATTTAATTATACTTTATATATAGCTTCATATAAGACGCATCACCGATGATCACTACGATATTTAATGTTTTAAATTCGTTCAAATAATTATTTTTATCATTTCAAGTGTGACATATATGTTTCACTTAAATTAATTTATAAATTAATTAAAATATTAGCACACAATTATTACACACAACATTAATTTATTAATATTAATTTTATTAATATTAATTAATTGAAATTATCGCGCTTAATGTCTACCAAATGGCTTTCATTTAGTTCTTCTTGTTACTTCAAACAACTACAGAACCGTTACACATTTTTAATATTTTGACAAAAAAAATAGTATCAATGTCTATATAAGATTGTTGTCACTAATACCAAAGCAGCACTTACTAAAATAGTTTGCCTGACTATAAGTATTTCACTACACTATTACCGTGACAAATACCGAATGCATTTCTCCCAGTACTGAAATTTTGCAATAAAAATTGCTCGCCGAACCTCATCGCATAAGTAAAGTTTTCCCAACAATTGAATCTTGTCAGTAATTAAAACATTAAAAATATATTTGTATCTAATTTCTAAAAAAGTCTTTGAAATTTTGTAAAAAGATATCTCTTTATATATCAATCTATAATATTACTTAATAACTATTTAATTACTAAGATTCAATAATTAGGACATGATTCATTTTTGAGTTCAACTACTGATATAACTAGCATTATTTGATATATCTTATTAAAATTAATTATAATTGATATTTATTGATTATAATTGATATTTATAATTGACTCATTATAATTAATATTTATTGATAATATATATTTTATTTCTTATTATTTATTGATTGCTGACAAATCAACGTTCTATATAAACGTTAGTCTTTTTTATGATTTCATAATTACTTATTAATAAAAATGCAAAATTCACGCTTCCTTATTAGTTTAGTTACTGGGACATTTACCTTATCAACAGATTCAATTCGGCAATTCGCGTTGTTGAAATAAACAACCGAAGTTCTCCGGTAAAACTTATCGCAATTCATCGCGCGGTCGAGCGACTGACTCCATTACGCTTTGTGTTCTGCAGATATTGTTCTCGGAATTCAGAAAGGCGAGTTCCCTGACGACCGCCCGTTGAAGTGTTACACGCACTGCATAATGAAGATGATGCGAACCGTAAGCGACAAGCGACGTTATTTGAATGTAAACGCGACGGTGATAATTGCACACGATTAATCGCATTTTTCCTCTCACTCTACAGTTTAAAAACGGACGTATAGACGACGTGATGATGATCAAGCAGCTGGACATGATGATACCGCCCGATCTCGCAGTGTTCCTGAAGCAGAGTACTACAGCTTGCGCGGCAGAACGTAAGTATATCCGCGGCGTAAATGGACGCCTCGCTCCGGAGGAAAAAATAAAATTCTAAAAAACTCATTTATCATTTCGATAAGTATCTTTTATCTATTCATACGTAAACTCTTGGAGAGGCTTGAGCGAGAACTGCGCGGAAAGAAACGGATTGGGTAATTTAATAGACTTATAGTCCGCTAAAATCAGATGTTGTGGTTAATTAGATTATCTTGTGTCGCAAGCAGAAATCACGTGTGGAAGCAATTGTCAACACACACATACTTGCTCATAAAATTCATACATAAAACTTCTTAAATACTTATTAAATTACTTTCGTAAATATTGTATTGATTATTGCGACAGATCATCTCGTATTTCAAGCTAATGGAGTGTATGAAAAAAATCCTCACTCACTTACTCGACGGCGGTGAAGAAATATTTCGGTTAATTTTACGAAGAAGTGATTCGATTCCACTGCAGTTGTATTGATAAGCGTGTACCAGCCTTATTCAAGATTGGCATTGAATACAATTTTCTGTCGTGCTTTAACTAACTTCTATTGCATAAGCAATAACTGTAATTTATTAACGTACCAATTTCTTTTCTCGATACAACAGCTATTTCGACAGATACGTTTCGTTGAATATCCCAAATTTTCTCAAACTACTCTAAACAAAAAAATACTTAAGAAATAGTAAAATATTTTTTCGGTATTAATAACACATATTTACTTATACTAACAAAATATTTTTCACATAGGAAAACATACATTTTTTTGAAACTTTAGTTTTTTATGAAAGTAGTTGTTTATTCTATTTGAATAAAAAAGAATTTAAATTTATGTAAATATGTTATTAGTGTATATGTTTTTTTATTAGTATAAGAGAACCATCTGAAATAATACTCGTCGATTTTAATGAACGTTGGATTTTAATGAGCGTTTTAATGAGCGTTGTTTCAAATTAAAAATTTCTTCAGCTTAGTTTAGGATATTCTAAAACTGTAGAAAATAAATCAATGCTTTTCATGTATATTTCTATCAGCAATTAGAAGTTCAAATAACCTCTTAAAAAAGTGGAATATACGATTTCGAGCGAATATCATCAAAACTATAGAATATTTAAAAAAATATTTTCTATAAAAGTTTCATGGTTTCTATATTCAAAAGGTTTCTGGTTTCAAAAGTTTCTATATTCTTTGCAATAGTATATTCAGGTTTTCCAGATGTATTCAGGTTTCTCAACAATCAGAAAATTGGCTGTGCGCATATTAAGGCTGCAGATTTGCTAAGCTGACGAGATTTTTAGTTTGAAACAGCAAATCCGCGAGGAAGTTGATTTCGATTGTTAGGTTCGGTAATTCGAGTTGGAATCCGCGGACCTTGCGGATTTGTTTCCCACGTTTCGCGATTATCTCACTTCATCAGAGCGAGTAGAAACTTTTCGACGAGGTTACTCATGCGATTGTCTTCTAACTCGCAAAATGCAAGGCCCGCGTATTAGAATACACACACTGAGAATACTAAAATCCCTTTATATCCGCAGCTCCGACCGGCGATGATTGCGAGACGTGCTTCAACTTTGTCAAATGCAGCTACAACAAAGACTCAGAACATTTCTTCTTCCCCTAAGCGCGATCGTACTGACGCGGCACGGACCTGGAGTTGTGATCATTTCTACTTTAGAGCGGCATACGTAAAACGTAAAACAAGTACACGATCGCGTGGAATCTCACGGGATTAGGTCGCCGTGAGATTTCACGGCGATCATTTAAGGGTTGCGTTCGGAAACGTCACTACGCTGGAACGACAGAGATACGAGAGTGAGATAAGAAAAGAGAGAGGACGTGACGTTTCTGAACGTAGCCAAGGATGGAGGGCAAACGCGCGATGCACACATCGCACGTCTCCACTTTCGCAATTGTAATCTTCACGTGACGCGGAGACCTGTACAAATACATACAGTTTCCCCGAGAAAACCCCTCTCCCCTCCGCTGAAACGCTTCAATAAATGCAAACAGTTAAAACGAAACGTCTCGATGAATCCTAACGTCTTCCAAATTGCGCGCCCACGATGGAGAGCTTGTACCGAGTGTAAGGAACAATTATTAATTATTAAAGACAAAATGAAATGAGCGAGATCAATTAAGTTATTGCCAACTTTGTGTCTCGACAAGGGACGCGCTGTATGACGAGAAACACAACTCGTACGATCTTCCTGATTATAATTCTAAAGATAGAACTGTCGACAGTTGTCTATAAATAATTTGGATATATCTAAGAAATATTTTGCTTCAGCCAAAAAGAACATATATACGTCGTCTAAATTTACAATGTATCCGGTATCCTACAATTGATTTTTTAATAGAATTTTAATAAAACTCTAATGATCTTTTTCTTAATTCTGCCAATATCACCATGTACGCAATTATTTATATTTTTACTAAGAATTCTATCAGCGTCAGAATTTTAATCGAGGGGTATCGACATTGGCAGAGTTAAAAAATATATTCTCAAAGTTTTATAAAAACTAAATTTAAAAATTCAGTTATAGGATTCTAGAACATTATAAATTTAAATGATATTACATACATTTTGGCTCAACCAAAATATTTCCTAAATATTTTAAAGTTCATTAAATATCTTTTACTTTCATCCTAAAGTGAGACTACAAAAGAGCCGTTGCTTGTATGGCGGCCAATGAGTGCGCAAATAAATTTACAGCGAACTAATGTAATCCTGTACTAAAGTAACCTGTACAAACTAAAGACTCGCAAGGACTTCCTCCCTTTCCGGCTTCTTCCCATCAGGTTTCGTTCCACCGTATTATCTCGCAGCGCCGAGCACGTAATTAATAAATCCGTGATATTACTTGCGTAATGTATTTGCGATCACGTCGCCCATGACATCCGGCCATGACAATGGCAGCCCTCGGTGTCGCTATTTGCGCTAAGTATCGCTAATTACGTCGGCCGAACGATAATGTAGGCGTATCAGGACGTGCCACCTCTGACAGAAAGTGAGATCGAGATTGACGGTTCTCCCTCTGTGAAGCCGTTCACTTTACTGTCTATAAAAGCGGCCGGACACATTTACACGCGACACGATACTCCAAAAGAAGGTCCAGCTGCCAGAACCGGGGCCGTTGCACACGAACGCAGTACAAAGGGAAACGTAACAACTGGGAAAAGATTAACGGGATCGGTGCGTGAGGATGAAGAACGTCATTCTCTTTGTCTCGTTCGTTTTGGCGACGAGTCTCTTTTGGAATGTCGACAGCGTAAGTCTCGCGATAAGAACACACGCGTGTACCTAAATGGTGTTTATTGAGGCAACGTTGTTTAGATTTGTGAACAAATCAGATTTTTATATTTTTCTCTCTCTCTCTCTCCAGAGTTTTATAAGAGTTAAACAAAAAGATGGTTGTAGAGAGTATCATAATACGTCGTTATTTAACCATTTACTTGGCAGATTTAACAAGATTCAAGGGAAACGTTTTTTGAGCTTTTAAATGAATGAGCGATGTCTCTTGAGTGCAATTATATTGTTTTCCAAATGCAATTTGGAAATGTATTTTTTGAATTTTAAAATGTCTTTTTTGAGGAAATTTTACTCAATATTTATAGTTCACGTTACATATATTATAGAATATCAAATAAAATTTCCTCAAAAAGGGGTTTTGGAATGCAACTCTAGTGGCGAAAATCGAAACTATTGAGACGAACAAAACTAGAGAACCTTTAGTAAAAAGAATCACCAACTTGGTCATATGACCAGCTACTCTGCGATTGGCTGGCATAAACATGTACGGATTTGGACATTGCAAATGTCAATGCAGAACAGATGGTTATCATATAACCATTTAAGATAACTAAAATTTAGAATTTTATTGAGTAGCATAAAACCTCAGTATTGAATATTCTAAAATTAAGAGTACCGAAATAATACATATTATGTTTAATCAAACTGTCTGCCATCGCGTTATTCACAATTTTCAAATAAAAGTTTGATTCCACGTCTGTGAAATTGTTCAAATTTGGAGCTAATAAAATCATCAACAATTCAACAAACTTCGTTGATATTAGCTTCAAGATTCACTTCGATCTTATTCCTGACATTAACTACTTTAAATTCGGAGAAGCATCAACGATAAGTGACACATACAGTGAATCGGAATTTAACGACTTTTCGATCTCTTTCGCAGAAAAGAATGTCCTTTGAAGAGATCAAAGAGACCTTGCAACCGGTGAGGAAAATCTGTATCGACAGGGTGGGCACCGATCCGAGTACGTAGCAAATCAAATCGCTTAAACTTGAAACAGAATAACTATGAAGCCTTTTTATTTAATTTATGATTTTATCGTATTAGTTTGGACTCTACTTAGAAGTTTAAATGTTTATAATTTTCGAAGCATTTCTAACTATAGAAGCATTTTTTCAAAGAAATGTTCCAAGTAAAGTTTACTTGTTTTTTCCATAGAATCCAGATATGTAACATTTTATAGGAGGTTCCATTTGAAATTATGAAGTTACTCCCCGTCTCTCTTCAAGAAGGAGCGGAGGCGAATTTTTGTTTACATAGAAAGACTCCTTGAATACATAAAACTTTCTCATGAAGAACTTTTTGACCAACTCCTTTTAGAGTTATTGGGTGGTCACATTTTACTTGGACCATCCTATATATGCAATTCAATATCTAACGACTGTGAAATTTCAATTTTTCTCTTGGGTCGATTCAAACTAAGATCCGAGCTAAGATCCAAACTAAGATTACTTTATTGGTTCTGTTTCGCTTGCGGCACTCATTTTCATTGGCGGGAAAGTACGTCAAGTCGTACTTGCCGAGCGGAAACAATAAATCGTTAGTAAACCTCGTCTATAGGCGAGAGCAAGGCGATAAAGCTGTAATATTGCACTGTGACCCAGAGATGATCGATGAGGCGAACAAAGGTAACTTCGTGCCTGACCGGAAGCTGCAATGCTACTTCAAGTGCATGATGGTGATGACGCGAGTCGTGAGTAAAAATCTCCGAGGAGTTTCTCGCTGATAATAATCATAGATCTCACGAGAAGATTCTTCCGCGCGAATCCAGTAACTCAGATCAAACGCATATCCACATTGAATTCTGAAACAATCGTGAGAAAAAGCGCCGATTCACGTCTCAGTGACTTACATCGCGTGGTCTTTATCAGAATACTTCTCTAATCCAGTTCAAACGTGATCTCGTCGTAAAAAAGGACTCAACCGTACTGAAACTACACTAGAATTATTTTTTTTCGGAGACAATGTCGCGTTATTTATTCCAAGTTATTGGCGATTGCCTCCCCATTGCATCCCGATTTATTTATTGCAGATGACGAAAGACGATAAACTAGTGGAGAAAATGTTTATTAATATCGCGGAACTCATGGTGGAAGAGAAATATACGGAACCATTTATGCAGACGATAATAAATTGCAAGGAGATTGGTGAGTGAAGCTTACTTTCGCGATTTAACTCTTGGTTAAGCGCCTATGTGAGATCAAAACCATGTCAATGCGATTTAAAACTATACGCTACATTAATCATAAATAATACGGTATAAAAATGGCAAATTGCTTAACAACCATAAGTTATCCACGAGATGTGCGAATCAAAGATTTTTTTATGCCGGATCGAATCGAATCGATGAAATTTCATCAAAATTGAATCGAATTGGAACGTTGAAAGAATGTTTAATTAACATAATCATTAAATTCAACATGAAAATAGTGACCTCAGTATGAGAAAGATAATATTGATCATGTGATATCAATTCATTTTAAGGTAAGAGATATACAATATATAGTCGGTAAACGTGTATGAAATACAGAATTATTTTATTAAAAAAAATTTTTTTTAATAAATATAATAATAATATAATAATAATATAATGTAATTTTAAATTTTTTAATTTTTAAATTTTTAAGCTGCGCAACGACACATATCGATCCGACAGTTGTCGGTAAGAGTTTATCTAAAACCATTATCTTCTTTTAATATTTTTGAAGAAAATCTTAATATACTTTTCAAGTCATGCTAATTCCCGTTAAGCTGGATGTTTTTAATAGTACTTCGTTAATGCTAATGTGTGCGATTTATATTCGAAGCTTTTTGATTCAAAATTTTCGAATTATTTGGATTCGAATCATAAGGATTTGAAATTGAATCGAATTGAATTTTACTTGGATTCGATTCAATTCGAATTCGAATAGTTCGCACATCTCTATTATTCACGGATCCTTGATACATTCGCTATGGTAATGTTTCGTCCTAAACACTCGCGGAACATGCATTGATATACATTGTCCCGAAAGATGGAAACCTCGAGCAGTTCAGAAAAAATTAGACAATTTCCCAGAAAATCATAAAACCGAAATCCTGATATCGAGATATTTTTCCTGAAATATATCTTGCTCCGAAAAATAATAATAATTATAGTAATAATTTTTCAGTTATTCTCTTGTTGTGTTGATTTCGCTATTTCACCAGCATCCTATTCAAATTGGCAAGACAACCAGCACTTGCAACTATTTAAGTTCATTAGTTGCAAGTTTTGTTTGACCGAAAATCTTGTCAACTTAAATAGAATTCTAGTAATTTCAATCGGAATTTCTGGTTTATTTATACTGCACCAAACATTTGGTTAATCCAACCAAAATTTTTTCTGTGTAATAAACATCTTTTTATATATGACCTCAAGAGGATTCATTTAAAATTAAAAAGAAAATATTCTAACGCTAAAAAAGGAACTCTAGTTGCAAAATTCTATTTTCTATAATTTTGTATTTCAAACAAAAACTTTTACTGAAAAATATTCCTCTTGTCTTGAAAAAATTTCTATTAAGAGAGAGAGCAAGATTTATACTTATAGATAAAAGACAAAATTCTTCTAACATTAAGAATATTCCTTTTGGAAGAATCTACTTGAAACCATATAGAAGAGGATATATCCTCTAACAATAAAATTATATTGTTTGGATACTGTTTTTCTGTTTTCAAGACAAACTGTCGTTCAACAAGAAGCAACTATAGTGGCGCGTAATAGCGAAATGGTTTAATTTCTTTTTTCTTGCAGCTTTACAGCCATTGGAAGGATGTGAACTGGCATACGAAATATTGAAATGTTTCTACGAATATAACCCATCGGTAAGACGCATGCGTGCATGTAAATATTATTTTTATTGCTTTGCAAATCTTCTTTTCAAAAGAAGAGATGCGTTGCAAGCAAAAATTTAAAAAACTGTCGCCTTTTCAGCTCACGTTCTTGCCTTGAAGACATCCGCCTTCGTAGATCCTTCGGTACATTCGAACGACCGAAATGTTTTCTCGTCAACGCGAAGGTAATTTGTTCAGTTTGTCGAATAAAACAACGTAAAGCACCTGACATTACTCGGCATTGTACTTCAGAGTCAAGAAATACACGAAATACGTATCCATCACGTAAATCCAGTATTCTTTTTTCTCCTTTAACACTAAAACTACCGACAATTAATGATTTACTTCTACCACAGCGATCATAATAAGATTTTTGAAAAAAGAACATAAGAAGAAATGTATATTTTTTATCTTTATTTAAAATTTTATTCTTAACGCCAATTAAAACTATAAAAATAAAATTATAAAATTCACTATTATAAATTTGAGTAACTTATATATAAAAAATATAAAAAATTATAAATCAGTAGTTTTTTCTGTTTCAACAATTCTATTGTTGACAAAAAACACGATAAAGAAAACGTTAACGAAATCATCGGATAAAATTCTATTTCGAATACTTTGAAGTTACGCAACGGTCTTCGCGACACTTACCGTACAGTGTCCGTGAGTCTCTTTTTTCCTCTCATAATTATCGGAACAACATCTAGAGAGACCGAAGCACGAATCAATCGGTCCGATAGATTTGCTACAATTAATTAATAGACGAAGAGAGATACTTTTTGACGTGCAAAATGCAGCGTTCCAGGAAGGATGCGGCGCGATTGTCCAGAAAAATGGCAGCTCGCACGAATGTGCAGTTGATTGATTGTCGATTTTCTCGGAATAAGATAATACGTATAAAGCGTTACGATGTATACTCGAGCGGAGTTTCACACGTGACTCGAAATAGCGCATTAATATAATCGACAAGGACCGCGTAGGAACGGTCTGAGAAAAGAACCGGGTGAGAATTGCACAAACGCAGAGACTTGCGACTTATCGCTTTAATAGGAATTCGCGACGGTAATTGTTGTGAACGTGGAGAACAATGTTGTAGGAGAATTAACAAAGCAACAAAGGAATTCGTTTCGTCTCTGCATGCGCATTGCACGAATTTCCGGAATTTATAAATCTCTTTTCTAAATCGACGCGAATTGCGTCACTCGTAACATTTTTAACATATTAATTTTGTGACAAATATATTAAGTATACATATATATATATATATATATATATATATATATATATATATAATGTGTGTGTGTGTGTGTGTGTGTGTGTGTAAACATATAATATAAATAGATATTATATGTTGAAAACTACATATTAAGAAAGGCAATTAAATTATATCATTACAATAACATTCTATTTTAATAGCCTTTTTTCATTAGTGTTCATAAATTGATGTAAATAATTGTGAACACGTTTGTAACTTAACCCAAGAAATTTTCCTTTGCTCCAATAATAAATAAATAATCGCAAAATTAACGTGATATGTAATATACCTTTCAATTACAATGATTTTGTCACATTAATTTTATTGTTTATTTATTGTTCATTTATTGGAACAAAAACAAGGTTTTTGGAATATTTCACAAATGTACTCAATCGATTACAAATTATACGATTGTATTGAAGAATTTTCTAAATTTCGACACAAAGTGGACAACAGTTAATTAAAATGAACAAAAGTACATTAAGTCGCAACGACGAGCAAACTAAAACAAAATAAATTAAAATCAAATTTAAATCAAGAGAGAATGCTTATATATATATATACATATATATATATATATATATATATATATATATATATATATATATATGCCTATGCTTTAATGGTTTATAAACATCTGTGATTACTGTGTTACTTTTGACGGCAATGTTATAATCGTTACTCATTGTCAGTCACTTATTGTGTCAAATATATACTGTGAAATGTTGCGCAAATATACACGTGGTAATAACTATTGTCACCAGGAAAAACATACTTACTCAATTCCCAAGAAAATTATCAAAACATATTCATTACGACAAAGTAAGCGTCGAGTTGAATTGCCAAATTACTGAGTTGCATGTTCTATTACTTAGCCTTTTTAACTTAATTACAGCTTGTGTATTCCAGTTGGCATTAATTTGCATATTATTATCCCATACATACATTGCACTTTCGTGGAATATAAATGTCGGATGCGAAAATGTCAAACACGACACACGCAACTCATTTCTTTTTGCCGTTTTATTCATGTATTTGTAAAAACAACGCTATTCTGTATAAATGTTAATTAGGTAACAAGGCAAACAATATGTTGTCTAGTAAACTGTATTGTGGCGTACACGTCACTTTGAATCGGCTATAAATACGCAGCAGCAGCTAGGATGCCACACAGTATGCAATAAAAAGCCTCTCGTATCACATTTGATATTTTCTTGGATATACTCGAGGAAAGCAGAAAAAATGCAGATTTCGGTGATTATTATATCTGTCCTTGCCATCGCAGTAAGTAGGAAGAAATACATGTGATATCTCATAATCTATTATGATATTTCATATATGAGCTTAATTGTGGCACCTACAATTTTGAAAACAAATCGATGAATTAATTTCTTAATTGAAATCTATTTTAAAAGTTTCAAAGCTGTTTCAACTGTCAATTCGTTTTAAGAGCGTCTTAACGTTTTACTTTATCTATATAAAACATAAAATATTTTTAGATTATGCACACAGAAAATGATCATTCTACTACTGAGAAAAGTGTTTACTAAGTTTTCCGTCTTTCAAGTTATGGTTATCTTCAACAAAGAATTTATTATTTTTATTAGCAACAATCTTAAAATATACACCATAATATATACCATAAATCTTAGAAAAGTTCATTATTATGTAAAAAATAAATTTATTCTCTTTATAAAAATATTATAAAATTTTATCGAAGAAAAACACACACACTTGGTTCGAGTCTATGTAATAAAAGAGTAAAAATTATTTTGTTCTAATTTAATATTCTTCACTAAAATTCTGAACTTATTAAGATTCAGAATAAATTTTAAATAAATTTAATGATTATAACGAACATTCTAATGATAGATTTATAACTTATATTTACACTTAGATTTAATATTTTCTTCACGGAAAAAAAAGATTTGGTTGAATTAACCAAATATCTGGTCGAATATGAACGATCCAGAAATTCAAATTGAAGTAACCCGAAGTTAACTGTTTAAGTTAACAAGATTTTTGGTAGACTAACCAAACATGGTTATTTAATCAGACACGTCTTTTACTCTCTGGTTAAATAATCAGACATGTTTGGTTAGTCTACCAAAAATCTTGTTAACTTAAACAGTTAACTTCGGGTTACTTCAATTTGAATTTCTGGATCGTTCATATTCGACCAGATATTTGGTTAATTCAACCAAATCTTTTTTTTCTGTGTTGAATGAAGTATTAACTACAACGATTGCATTCGATTACTGATCCAAGACGAAAACATTTTCTACATATTTCAACGTAATTTATGCTTTTAGATGATGGCTTACGGTTATAACGCTGACAAGCTGAAAAAATTTTACGACGACTTTGCAATGTGCAACGAGAAATTGGGCACATCGCCGAGTGAGTATTAAAATTGAGAATATTAAGAAAAACTTGAAAAAGAAAACAGAAAATAAAATAGTTCTATTTAACAATTTTATTTTATAATCGAAGATTAGAGAATCGTGTTGAGAATAATATTGTTCCTTATGTTGAAGACAATCTTATTACACTACACTTGGAACAATTGAAAAGCTTAGTTCAATTTTATGTCTTTTCGATAATAAATCAGTTTAATTTAGATGACAGCAGCATATGAACAATCAAAAGATAATAGACGACTCGACAGTAATTGCTTGATTAATGAATAACTTGCGACTTCTACGCTAATAACTATATTATAATCTTTAATTAAACCAGAATAACTGAATTAGAACAAAAGTCATAGTTGGCTTATAAAATGAACCGAATAGTTTGAATGACCCGATAAATTGTTACTAATTGTGGTTACACAGACATCTATAATATACTCATAATAAGATCATAAGTCTTGACTCCTTAGACGTCCCGCTGTATAATACTCGTATAAATATGTGCACACACACTGTTTCGTATGTACATATATTTCGATTCAGTAATCTCCTAGATGGAGAATTCTTATATTTAAAGAATAACTGCATGTCAATTGCGTCTACTATTATAAATACTCGGTAATCGCGTTATTTAAATACATAACTTGTGGGTGCACTAAATTTAGGAAGTATATATCAGTGAATGCTTTACTATACTAGAAAAAGAACTACAATGGATCGAAAGAGAATGAAAGATATAGAAAACAATACCCAGCTCGTCTTTTTTTATTGCTATCTTCAGGCTGAAAATTCACTACGTCCAGCGAATAAAGTTGTGAGGAATGTGGAAGATGTGTATGTGTGTGTGTGCGCGCGCGCGTGTGTGTGTGCTGTGTGTGATAGCAAATTAAACTGGTATAAACCGAAATATGAAAAAATTATAAGAATTTAGCAACTGTCAACTAAAGCCGAACTGCAGTTATACATATAATATTCGAGTTATTTACTATTCGATAGTCTATTCAAAGTTAATTGAGCCGAAAGTTTTGTAAAACTAACATTAGCAGTAAAGAACATAGAAAACCATTAACGAGTTAAAATTCGTTGGACAGAGACAGAAATGGTCGTTCATCTACCCATTGCTTTTCTTTTAGTATTCTGGCATTAGGCATCGCAGTTCTCTTTCCAATGTAATATAAAATTCACTAGAATATATAGTTTATAATAAGAGCGAGTATATTGTATATTATGGACACCTGTGGCTATCCTTTTAAAAATTACTTTCGAGAGTTTCATGTACTTTATAAGAGGAGCAACAATATCACTGTGATTAGTGCAGATTAGTTTACTTTATTTATAATAAACAAATTTCAAAATCTCACAAATTCCTTATAACATCTGGATTGCGTTACAGCTGAGCCTAGTGCCCAAGCAATCAATTGCGCGTTGATTAATGATGGCGAGGTACGTATATTTATATATTAATGTTTACAGTCTCCGTAAACTCTGAATTTAAACGATTGAGTTTCAATATATTTTGATCGATTACGGTCTATCTCACGAATAAAAACAAAAGATAATTGTGATATCAATCCTATTGCAAATATATTCTCTCGAAAAATTATTTCTGTCATGAAATTACAATTAAACTCATTGTGGCGTGACAATACTATTGAAAAAAAAGCTTTGCTTATATATGATATAAATATATATACAATAAAAATATAGAAAGTCACAAGTAATTTAGACCAAGTATGTAATAACATACATTTAAAAATACATCACGTGAAAATTTTGTTAATTAGATACGTAAAAGAGTTACGCTTATTTAAAACTGCGTTTATCAAGTAAGTGCCGTCTTCCGAACTTTTAGGACTTTTTTCCGTTTCAGGATAGTATTTCAATATATATGCAACATAAATTACAGCGAATTTCCAAAAATTTTATCTCATCAAATTACTCATTAAAATAATAATCATAGTCGTGATATTATCTATTTCAGATCCTTAACGCGAACGGCGAGATTATAACTGAGATAGCTATGCAGAAACTTGACGATCTGATCTCCGATCCGGACAAATTAAAACAGGCGCGTGAGATGCATACGAAGTGCTATAAAGAAGGTAATTTATTTGATTGACGTCTTCGAAAATAATTTTTGTACCTGCTCAATAACTTTTAATTGCAGTGGTTGAAAGTGGAGTGACCGGTAACGAGCAGACACTGACAATGATCACGTGCAGTATGCCAATTATGGGACTGATTGACAAACTGAAGTAAAAGAGCCAACGAGATATTTTTTCACGTAAACACTAGCTGTGTATGCTGTTTTCGGAATTATCTGTATAACCCTACGTATATATGATTTCCTTTTATGCCAAATTGTATGTACGTGCTAATGATTAAATAAAATATATTTGACGAGACAAAATGAATCTCTAATGGATATTCTTAATCGAAGAAGACAAACAATAATTATCATGTACAGATATATTTTATCACATATGACAACAATAATATAAATATTTTAATAAGACTATAATGAGTCAATTTTCATTTTTTTGCTAGCATAGACATTCTATTAAAGACTATAATGAAGAAATTTTCATTCCTTTGTTAGCGCAAACCTTCTGTTGAAGCACTATCATTGTTACTCACGACACACACAAGAGTTGTTTCTTACGATGTATTTTAAATCAAAACTCGTTTCTTCTTTTCACTATGTTTTCCATCGTTTTTGTATCTTGACTTTGAATATTACTACAAGTTAGAAAATTTAGCATTTTCAAGTCGAAATGATAAAAAATTTGAATCTTTCTTTAACATTATTATTGTAACGATGATGTAACAAGTTTTAATATCGGCATAGTGATCTCAAATACATCTTAAAAATTGAGAATAAAAATAAAACGCTAATCTTAGGATAGTATAAGGAACATAAGAACGACGAATTAAAATATCTCAATATTCGAGTGGCCAAGCACTTTATTCTTTAATTGCACAAGTAGCTAGATGATATTTGATTTGTGATCAATGGCCAAGAATACACAATAAAACACCATTCAAGTAAGACACCATTCAAGTCACCATTCACACCTAACGAACTGCAGCGGCCGCATTGTGGATGTGTCTATATATCAAAATAAAAAAAGAAAAAAAAGACGTGTGCAGAGCAATACATAATCAGAAGAGGCAACTGAAATAAGAAATAAAGCAAAGTAAAAACCTATGTTATAGTGCAAATCCTTCGAATTATACGTAACTATAAAATCGTGAACCTCCGAATACAGACAACGTGCTTATATATGAAAACATACGAGAACTAACAAAGATGTGAACAAGTCGAAATAAAATAGTAAAAATTTCAAATTACATCTGTTCAAATAAAACACCGTAGGCGCTACCAAGTTCTGTATCTTTTTGTGCATTGAGGCCGTGTTTTTGTTATTTGATAAAAATCATTGCCACTATCAGTCGTTTCAAATAGAACGATTTCTCATGCGCAACTTTAATGTTAAATAAAATCATGGTTGTTAGCAATATGGTATTCCTAGACAACACACAAATCCGATGTCAAGTCTCCAAGCAATCTATAATGTTCAGAAATTCGCGTTGACAATTATCTGCCCGTTTGTCCAACATAAGACGCATCACAATTTCCGCATTGCGATCTATACACAACGTTATTGCGTGAATTATTAGGAAGATCGTCTTTATGTACAAGTATGATCCCAAATATTTTTACTCAAACACGAATATGCAATGTTCATATCCTTGTTTACTATATTGTCAAGTCTTACAGAAATCAAATCCAAAAATGGAATGGTCAAAAAAGATTTGGATGAAGGTGTCAAAGTATTACGGCTATTTTCAATATGAACGTTGTATTTACCGAAAAATACATTAATCGACAATAAATTGTTCTAAAAATTAATTGCATATATAGTTCTAAAAATTAATTGCATTAATTGGTAACCGTTCTTGATTAGAGTGCGAATGATTAGATCCAAATTTTTTTTTTTTGTTAACTAGGATGTCTGAGGATGACTTTGATAACAAGGCTACGTCGACAAGGTTTATGATGGTGTTCTTTCTTGACATAAAGTATGAAGAGAAATAAAATTTAAGTAGTAGCCAAAATTTCTTGGTTTATAATACCAATCAAAAGTAATTGTGTTATTAGAAACGATAAGAATGGAATCTAAAAAATGTATCCTGTCGAACCAATCTCAACCGTGAATTGGAGACGTGGATGGAAAGAATTAAAAATAAACAGGATCTTACTAATATAATCGCCTGAAGCAGCCAAAATGATACCATTTACATATCTAAAATAGAAAGATAAACGAATTAGTATTCTTTTGATCGATTTCTCTTTAAGATTTTGCCAAACGACGTCCGAAATAACCGGAGATAACGGGAAGCCTAGCGGATTACCAAAAGTTTGGCGGTAAATTATACCGTTGTAACTAAAATACAGGATCGATTTAATGTTTATTGCGCACGTAATATGCGTTCATTCTGATTGGTGCAGTCGGAAATTTTTATAATATTTCACCTACAAAAACCTTTTCTTTATCGCCAATTAATTTCAAATTGAAATTACACATTTGCAATGCGGATCGCGGACATCACAAGCGCAGATTGAAATAAAGCTAATAAGAAAATGTACGTGAAATTATAAATAGCCTGATATGTACATCTAATGCTCGGTCACGAATCTTTTATAGCATAAATACGTGAATCGGTGACAATCATTATAGATAAATGTTGCTTATTGCAGCCTACATATTACAAACGCAATCTGATAGACAAACGAGCATCGCTTGTGTGCGTGCGTATATGTGTGAATCTGAATAGTTTGCGATGCAAATGCGGCTTGATGAACAAACTCATTCGCTTATGTACGTGCATACGTGTGAATCTGCATTTTAAAAAATCTGAAAGTCTGGGCGAAAATAAAAGGACTTTTTAGCGGGCGAGATTTCGAGATCTCCATATTGTCTGCACCAATCAAATTTGGTGCAAATTACGCGCGCGCTAAACATTATATAAGAAAACTTTTATTAGTTTTTCGATTATAGTTTTCGTCCTTGAGATATTTGACTCGGACGACTAATCTACCCAGAAGTTGTAAATACACGTGTCGCTTTGTTTTGTACACATACTGAGCGTTGCGCCGCGACGCCATGATTGCCACATGTGTTTGTACAATATTTCACATTTGATACCATAATTGACAAGGAACATTCGTGAAGCGTGTGAATCCGATTTTGGCTTATGGTAATTATTTACTTTAAGGAACTCACCTTCGATTCACTTTGATTTTGATATATATTATCAAGGACACTCTCCTAAGTAACCTTCAGAAGGTTTTAGCCGTCGCTTATTGTCTGTTAAAAAGTTGAACTTAGAAAAATATATAACAATTTCTCGATACTGTGTATCGTTAACGCACACACACACACACTGCTCGCTAGCAACGCGCTCGCCCGCCCGACAGGGCGAGCTCGCGATGGATGCGTATGTTTCTATTATACAGGATGTTAGTTAAGTATGTTGCCGTACTCAACAGAGCGATTCTTTATTTCAAATAAAAAAGTTCATATAAACATGTGTCCTAAACTGTTTAGTTTCCGAAATAAAAAAGTTTAAACGTGTAGTAATAATCTGTTTCGTTTAGAACAGCTTCCTCTAGTATTGGTGTTCTAACTGTCATAAGCTTTCCGAGATCAACAGTGTTCCTTACAAAAGAACCCTTTTCTCGAAGATAGCGATGAATATTCGCAAATATTTTACGACATGGTAAATTACGTTGGGGATATCTTTCTGCATAAATACACCTTACCTCACGTGAGTTACTATTTGCAAGACCGTAGGCAAAGTGCATATCTGCCATTTCAAAATTTGTAAACTTAGATATAATGAAATCAATTTTGATGGACTGAAACAATTTGGTCGTATGCACAAGCTAACTAACCCGCAACAACATCAGAACTGAAATTTATTTTTGATTTTATGACTTTGACTTTGTCACTTTGTTTACAATCGTATGAATGGTAACTTATGTAAAGCAAGGCTTATTTATGCAGGAAGATATCTCTAACGCAATTTTTATCGTTTCGTCAAACATTTGCGAACATTCACCTGTATTTCGGAAACTGAGCCGTTTAGGACACATGTTTATATGAACTTTTTTACTTGAAATAAACCAAAGAATCGCTCTGTTGAGTATGGAAACATATTTAACTAACACTTTGTATATACATACGCACCCCCTCCCCAAAAATCTAACCCTAACCAATGTTTATTTATTAACAATGTATGTATGCGCACGCAGACGACCAGTGTGTGTGTATGTGTGTGCGCGCGTGTGTGGGTGCGCAGCAGGTATCTTCCTAGCTTACAAATTCGATGTTTTTGTATATACGGTGTCCAAAAATTGCATTCATTTTATGCAACTTTTTTTTATAACTTTTTAATAAACAACGAGCGACGGCTAAAACCTCCTGAAGGTTACTTAGAAGAGTGTCCTTAATAATATATATCAAGATCAAGGTCATCGGAGGTGGATTCCCTAAAGTAAATAATTATCCTTGTCAGTTATATTATTAATTGTATACTGTGAAATATTGCGCAAAAACACGTAATAATTATTCTTACCAGAAAGAATAGATTTATTCAATCTCCAATTCAATTATTTATGGTTACGACAAGTAAGCGCCGATTTAAGTTGCCAAATTACTGAATTGCACGCGTGCTCTATTAACTAATACAACTGTAGCTCGTATACTTGTGTATTCCAGTTGGCATTAATTTGTATATTATCCCATAACATACATCGCACTATCGCGGAATATAAATATCGGAAGCTGTCAAACATCACTCACACAACTCATTTTTTTGATATCTTATGTTTGTATTTGCAAAAAAATCGTCATTCTGTCCAAATATTAATTAGGTAAGAAGGCAAATATGTTGTTTAGTCAAGTGTATTGTGACATATACGTCACTCTGAATCGGATATAAATATGATCGGCAGGAGTTAGAATGTCATTACGGAATAAAAAACCTTCTCACTCGTTCAAAACTCGTTTCACATTTGATATTTTCTTGGATATACTTAAGAAAATCAGAAAAAATGCAGATTTCGGTGATTATATCTGTGCTTGCCATTGCGGTAAGTAGCAAAAAATACTCGTGATACTTCATAACCTTTCGTGACACTTCATACATAAACTCACCATCAATTTTGATATCAAATTGATGAGTGGATTTCTTAACCACTTAAATTCTAAAAATTTTAAAACTGCTTCAACTATCAATTCGTTTTAAAAGCATCTTAATGCTTTATTTGATCTATAGACATAAAATATTTCTAGATTGACACAGAAAATTATCATTGTACTGCTCAGAAAAGCGATTAATAAATTTTCTTTCCTTCTTAATAAGTTTCCTTCTTTCCTTCTTAAATAATAATTTTTCAACGAAGAATATTTTATTGACGATAGTCTTACAATATACATATCATAAATCTTAAAACATTCATCATCATGTGCTCTAAAAAAATTTTTATTCACTTTACAAAAATTTTTAAAACTTTATCGATGAATATGTGATGGTTTGTACGTTATAAGAGAGTAAAAATTGTTTTGTTCTGATTTAATATTCTTCAATAAAATTCTGAACTTACTAGAATTCAAAATAAATTTAAATAAGCTAAATAGTTATAATAAATATTCTTATGATAGATTTACAACTTACATTTACATTTAGATTTACAACATATATTTACGCATATATACAAATTTATCAAATATTTGAAACATGTAATATTTTCTTGAATGCAGTATTAACTGCAGCGATTGCATTTAATTATTAATCTAATACGAAACGATTTTTTACATATTTCAATGTGATTTATGCTTTTAGACGATGGCGTACGGTTTTAATATTGACATATGGGAAAAAATCTGGGGCGACCTCGCGGCGTGCAACAAGTTGATATTTAAGGCGCCGGGTGAGTATTAAAATTAAGAATATTTAAAAAAAGTTGAAAATAGAAAATAGAAAATAAAATAAAACCATGTAACAATTTTATTTTATAATTTAACAATCGCAGATTAGAGAATCGTAATAACATTAATACCGTCTCTTTTGTTTTGTTGAAGACAACTATGTTGCACTATTGAAACAGTTGAAAAGCTCAGTATTCTATTTTATGCCTTCTCGACAGTAAATCAGTAAATTTACATGTTAAAAGTATATGAGGAAGCAAAAGATAATAAACGACTCAACAGCAATTGCTTGATTGATGAATAACTTGAGACTTCTATGCTAATATCTAAATTATAATCTTTAACTAAATTAGAATTAAAATCATAGTTGACCCATAAAATGAATTGAGCAGTTTGATTGACCCGATAAATTGTGGCTACCTCCATAGACGTCTATAATATACTGGATCATAAGTATATGCATAAATGAGGCAATTCTTGCCTCAAAGATGAAAATGTTGTGGAATTATTGCTATCGTGACACTGATTTCATTTTTCAAAAATTACAGCGTACTGACTGCTCCAATTTATATGATAAAATTACGTCTTGACTCCCGCTATACGTCCCGCTATATGATACATAACTCGTACAAATGTGTACAAACATACTGCTTCGTATGTACATACATTTCGATTCAGCAATCTCATAGATGGAGAATTCTTATATTTGTAGAATAACTACATATTAATTGCGGTTACTATTATCACTGCATTATTTAAGTAGGGGAAAATTGGGACACGGGGCACATTTATACATCGGTAACAAAATAAAAGCTGCGCAGAATTGGAACACGGCTGTACGTGTTTTATTTTGTCGTTATACACATCTACATGTCAGCAAAGTTTGACGTCTGTTCGGCGACGGTGAGCAACAGAGCAGGACGTGACGTGTTTTAAAGCTGTCTGACTAAATTTCTGATCGAAATATATGGCTGCTGTTAAGTAGTTTTTATTAGTATTAAAAGCGAGAATAACAGTTTTTTAGCAAGTAAAAATTCTCAAGATTATATTTTGATCATAAATTTTATTACATGTTTAGTGGATACCATAAAAAAGAGAAGCGACGACATCACTGTGACGTAGAGGATCTTGCCTTATTTACAATAAGCGAATAAATTTCAAAATCTCACAATTTTGTTATTACATCTGGTTTACGTTACAGATGACCACAATGTACCTGGAATCCTTTGCACGTTGATTAGGGATGGCGAGGTATGCATATTTATATTTAATGTTTACAGTCTCCGTAAACTTTGAATATAAACGATTGAGTCTTGGTATATTTCGGTCATTTGCGGTATATTTTACGAGTGAAAACAAGAGACAAATGTAGTATTAATACCACTGCAAATATATTCCTTTGAAAAATTATTTCTGCTACGAAATTACAATTAATCTCGTTGTCGCGTGATAATACTATTGAAAAAAGCTTTGCTTATATATAATATAAATATATATACAATAAAAATATAAAATTCACAAATAATTTAGACCAAGTATGTAACAACATACATTTAAAAGTACATTATGTGAATATTTTGTTAATTAAGTACGAAAAAATGTTGCGCTTATTCAAATCCACGTTTATCAAAGTAAATGCCATCTTTCAAACTGCTAGAGTTAAAACTGTTAGCGTTACAGAGAAATTCCAAACATTTAATCTTATAAACCACGCATTTAATATAATAATCATAACCGTAGTGTTATCCATTTCAGATATTGGACAAGAACGGCGAGTTCAAAAATGAGATAGCTATGCAGAGACTTGAAGATTTAATCTCCAACCCAAACAAATTAGAACAGGCGCGTCAGATACATATCGATTGCCATAGAGAAGGTAATTTATTTCATTGACGTCTTCGAAAATAATTTCCATAACTACTTAATTATTTTTAATTACAGTGGTTAAAAGTGGTGCGACCGGAATCTACCAGACAAAGCAAATAATCCTATGCGAAAGACTAATTTTGACACTGTTTGATAAAATATAAAAGCTCTAACCAGATACTTTTTTTAGTAAACGTTAACTGTACAATTTTTCCGGAATCATCTCAATATGAGGTTTCCTTCTATGTTAATTTGTATGTACGTGCTAACGATTAAATAAAGTGCATTTGAAAACTAACATGTAATATGGATATTTTCCATCAAAGAAGACAAACAATTATTATATACAAACATATCTCTTTACATACAGCAACAATAACTTAAATGTTTTCAAAAGACTGTAATGAAGATAGTTTCATTTTTTTGCTAGTGCACACCTTGTATTGAATCATTATTATTATTAATAGTGTTCGCTTGATCACATAAATCTAAGCTCGGTTCTTCTTTTTTGTATTCTTATCTGTGTCCAAGTGTTTTCTTTAGCTTTTATATCTTGAATTTGAATGTTATTACAAGTTATAAACTTTAGCAATTTCAAGTCGAAATAATCAATAATTTCAATCTTTCTTTAATATTATTTTTATAACGACACTATATCAATTCTTAATATCGTCAAACTCATTTATCGTGATCTTAAATACAACTTAAGAATCGAGAATGAAAATAAAATCCTAATTTCAGGGTTATATAAGGAACACAAGAATGACAAATTAAAATATCTCAATCGAATGACTAAACACTCTATTCTAATAGCTAACAGGTAGCTAAATAATATTTGATTTGATGAATAGCCAAGAATACAGTAAAATTCTAAGAGAAATTATAAAACAATTACCTTAACGTGATTAGTACATATTCAAATTACAAGCTAAGCTCGTTTAAAGATTAAGATTAGGTAAGCATACTTAAGTAACATTTGCGATCGCAAAAGTAAATAGATTTCTAATGGCAGAATCTGCCAATTTAATTCAGTTAATTGTAATACGAGTGAGAGAGATTATTATTATTCAATTCAGAGTCCAATAATAATGGCCGAATAATCCGTTCCATAAAAAAATATATCAATATAACGGAATAACACGGAATTACACGTCCAAGAATCGCTCAATCGTCAAAGATAAAGCGATGGTAATTCTCTTTTCAGAGAAAGGCAATAAAGTACAATCAATGTTTTTTTACAATATGCTTTAATTTAATATGATAACATAATTAAAAAGGTAAAAATATAATAACAAAGTTTGTGAAATTATACATAAACAACATCCAATAGGAATAATTAACGTTTAGCGATATTTTATTTATAACAGGAATTATATTAAAGATAGGATACAAACCTTACAGATGTGAGGAACTTGTATATCGTGTCAGATATCGATTAAATGATTGTTTAAAAGACAATAATGAAATGTTTACAAGAACTCCTGCCTGGCTCGGAAAATCTTAACACAATCCAAATTCTATGTAAATATATAGCAGATTAATAACATTCGTTATGAAGTAGAATTTCGCGAATAATGGCGAGGAAACATACGACAATGCAGTTCCATTATCTCAATTTTCGCTCCAGTGCTTTACGAGATCATCCTCGTTAAAACAAACGTAATGTACAGATTTCACATACTTCTAGAAAGAGAAGAAAGAATTATTTATAACAATATGTGAAAAGAGTTACGTTTAATTGTAAATAAATTAATAACTTTAAACCATTGCATAATATGAACGATCGAGTTAATTCTCAAGAAACGTCTCATGTCGGAGTATTTATATACCGTTACATATCTATGTGGCACTATATCTATATCGCTTATAAATAACAATATAATATTAACAAGAATATAATCCGATTAACAGTTTTAACACGATCGCATGCTTCACACGAAGACTCGTACGTGCCGCCGGCATCTCCCGCGCAGATCTTATCACCTGCCATCGGTGAATCTTACCATGATAGCGGCTGACAATTGTTAAACAAGTATAACCAAGCCGACTAAGTCACGTTTATGTAATCGCGGTGACAACTGCTGGATAATAAAATCACGTATACGTAACAGCCGTTTTAAAAATATGAGTCTCTAATTTTTAGCCACTCTATAAAAATGCCAAGTTTCATTAAAATCGTAGAAAAAATGTTCCTTAGCATTTCTTATGTCAAATGTATGCTATGAAATGTTGCGCAAAAGTAAGTGGTAATAATTATTTTCACCAGAAAAATAAACTTATTTAATCCCCAATGCAATTATTTATTGCTACGACAAAATAAGTGCCGAGTTGAATTGCCAAATTATAAAATTACACACGTGCTTTATTAATTAGATTTTCAACACAATTGCAGCTCGTACTTGTATATTTCAGTTGGCATTAATTGCATATTATTATTCCATAACATATATTACAAATTCGCCGAATACAAATATCGAATACTGTAAAACACGACTCACGCGACTCATTTTTTTTTACCGTCTTATATTTTTGCAAAAAAACGTCATTCTGTACAAATGTTAAGATAAGAAGGCAAACGATATGCTGTTTAATAAACAGTACCGTGACGAACACGTCACTCTGAATCGGCTATAAATACGCGGCAACAGTTTGAATGCCACACAGTAAGTAATAAAAAACCCCTCGTATTACATTTGACACTTTTTTCGATATATTCCAGAAAATAAAAAAAGATGCAGACTTCTGTGATTTTTATATCTGTACTTGCCATTGCAGTAAGTAGGAAGAAACATCTGTAGTAACTCATAATATTTCGTGATACTTCATATATAAACTCATCAAATCAATTTTGATATCAAATCGATGAATGGATTCCTTAACCATTTAAATTTTAAAAGTCTTAAAGATATTTCAACTTTCAATTCATTCTAAGAGCGTCTTAATGCTTTATTTGATCTATAGACATAAAATATTTCTAGATTGACACAGAAAATTATCACACACTGCTCAGAAAAATGATTACTAAGTTTTCTTTCCTTCTTTCAAATAATAGTTCTTCAACAAAGAATATTTTATTGGCAATAGTCTCAAAATATACTTATCACAAATCTTAAAAACATTCATCATCATGTGCTTCAAAGAAAAATTTATTCACTTTAAAAAAATATTTTAAAACTTTATCGATGAAAATGTGATGGTTTCTAAGTTATAAGAGGGTAAAAATTATTTTGTTCTAATTTAATATTCTTCACTAAAATTCTGAACTTACTAGGATTCAGAATTAATTTTAAATAAACTTAATGGTTATAATAAATATTTCTATGATAGATTTACAACTTATATTTGCACTTAGATTTACAACATATATTTACGCATATATATACAAATTTATGAAATATTTGAAATAATATTATTTTGAGTGTAAAATATTAAACTGCAGTGATTGCATGCAATTACTAATCTAGTATGAAACAATCTTTTACATATTTCAATATGGTTTATGCTTTTAGATGATGACTTACGGTTACAATGCTGATAAGCTGAGACAATTCTACGACAATCTCGCAAAGTGCAGCAAGATATTGTATAAGGAGCCGAGTAAGTATTAAAATTATAAGATTATTAAAAAAAGTTGAAAATAAAAAATAAGAAATAAAATAGCTGCATTTAACAATTTTATCTATAATTTAACAATTGAAGATTAGAAAATCGTATTAAGACTAATACCATTTCTTTTGTTACGTTGAAGACAACCACATTGCATATTCCATTTAATAAATCTATTTTATAATTTAACAATCACAGATTAGATCTCATTAAGATTGATAACATGTCTTTTATTTCGTTGAAGATAATTATATTGCACTATTGAAACAGTTGAAAAGTTCAGTTCTATTTTGCGCCTTTTCGATAGTAAATCTATCAATTTAAATGCCAGAAGTATATGAACAAGCAAAAGATAACAGACGATTCGACGATAATTGCTTGATTGATGAATAACTTGAGACTTCTATTCTAATAACTAAATTATAATTTTTAACTAAATTAAAATAACATATATAAGATAGCCTATTGAAAATCCATCAACATTACAGATTAGTAAAATTAATATTAGTAGTAAAGAACATAGAAAACCATTAATCAATCAAAATTCTTTGGACAGAGACAGAAATAGTCTCCCATCTAATCGTGTCTTTTTTTCGTGTTCGGGAACTAAGCATCGCAATTCTTTTTTCAAGATAATATACAATTCATTGAAGTATATAGCCTATGGTAGGAACGAGTTTATAGTATTATAGATGCTTGTGACTATCCTTTTAAAAATTACATTCGAGATTATTTCAATTACTTCATAAGAGGAGCAACGATATCACTGTGACAAGATTAGTTTGCTTTATTTATAATAAGCGAACAGATTTCAAAATTTCATTGTTACATCTGGATTGCGTTACAGATGTGCGTAGTGTTCAATCATTCTATTGCGCGTTGACTAACGATCACGAGGTACGTATATTTGAATTTAATGTTTTTAGTCTCCGTAAATTTTGAATTTAAACGATTGAGTTAGGTATTTCGGTCGTTTGCGGTATATTTCGCGAGTAAAAACAAAAGAGAAGTGTGCTATTGATACCATCGCAAATATATTCTCTCAAAAATTATTTCTACTACTAAATTACAATTAAGCTCGTTGTGACAAATATGACAAGCGTGACATGACTATTCAAACAAGCTTTGCTTATATATAATATAAATATATATACAATAAAAATATAAAAAGTCACAAATAATTTAGACCAAATATATAACAACGAACATTTAAAAATACATGACGGGAATATATTTTTTTAATTAGATACGAAAAAGAGTTGCGCTTATTCAAATCCTCGTTTATCAAAGTAAATGCCAACTTCCAAACTACTGGAGTTTTGACGTTATCATTTTCCGTTTTAGTAGGATACTATTTCAAAACATATGCAGCATAAATTTCAGGGAAAAAAATTCCAAAAATTTTATCTCATTAAACTACTCATGTAAAATAATAATCATAACCGTGGTGTTATCTATTCCAGTTGATTAACATGAACGGCGAGATTGAAACTAATGTAGCTATGCAGAAATTTAACGATGTGATCTCCGATCCAGGCAGGTTAGAACAGGCGCATGCGATATATATCAAGTGCTATAAAGAAGGTAATCTATTTCACTGACGTTTTAGAAAATGATTCCCGTAACTACTCAGTTACTTTTAATTGCAGCGATTGAAACTGGAGTAACCGGCTACGAGCAGACAATGAAAATAATCGCGTGCGGTATGCCAATTATGGACCTGATTGACAAACTGAACTAAAAGCGCCAACCAGATACTTTTTCAAGTAAACGATAGGTGTATGAATATGACAACAATAATTTCTATACTTTAAGAAGATTGCAATAAAACAATTTTCATTTCTCTGCTAGCACAAACTTTCTATTAAAAACTATGATGAAGTAATTTTCATTCCTTTGTTAGCGCAAACCTGTTGTTGAATCACCTTCACTGTTACACACTGACAAACAGGAGAGTTATTCATTACGATGTATTTCAAATAAAAGCTATTTTCTTCACTTATCTGAGTTTAAGTGTTTCCTATCGTTTTTTATACCTTGAATTTGAATATTATTACAAGTTAAATCTTTAGCATTTTCAAGTAGAAGTCATCAATAATTTTAACAATATTTTAACATTACTTTTAAAACAACGATGTATGGTTTTCTTTAAATCGGCATAGTCATTTATAGTGGCCTTATATACTACTTAAATATTGAGAACGAAAACGCTAATCTCAATGTAGTATAAGGAGTACAAGAACGACGACTTAAAATATCTCAACACTCGAATGGCTAAGCATTATATTCTTTAATTGCACAAGTAGCTAGACAATATTTGATTTGTTGAATGACCAAGGATACAGTGAAATCCTAAAAGAAATCACGAGACAATTACCTTAACGTGGTTACCAACAAAACATATTCGAATTACAAGCTAAGCTCGTTTAAAAATTGAGATTAAATAAGCATACATAAATAGCATTTGCGATTGTAAAAGTAAATAAATTTCTATCGGTGGAATCGAACTGCCAATTTGATTCAGTTATTTGTAACATAAGTGAGAGAGATTATTATTATTCAATTCAAGGTCCAATAATAATGGCCAAATAGCCCGTTCCACGAAAAATACAACAATATTACACGGAATCGTCCAAGGATCGCTCAATCGTCATACGTAAGGCAGTGATAATTCTCTTCTCAGAGGAGGCAATAAAGTATCATCAAAGTTTATCTACAATATGCTTTAATTTAATATAATAACATAATTAAAGAAAGTAAAGATATTATAAAAACATTTGTGAAATCATATAACGTTGCATATATATCAAATCGTACACAAAATCTTGCACATAATTTAACATAACATTTTTAAAATCGTGCAAACCTACACGAGATGATGCTACATGCTTACGTAGGATCATTTAAGAAATCTGTATTATAGAAGATAGTTAAATGTTTACGAAGCGCGAAAGCATATTATCATTACTCATAGAAAGCATGTTATCATTAGACGTAAAATTACTCATAGTGTATTATCGTATACTTCTGAATGAATATTTTCGCTGATCATAATCATAAGATGGTATTAAAGATTTTGCTTAAAAGATTTTTCTAAGAAAAGCAATATACAACCTTGATCAATGCATTTTTTAAATACGTTCTACTCTTTTAAATGGTTCCAAAATAAAAATGGTAAAGATGTCCCTCATTCATGAAGCCCTTATTCTCCTACTTTTCATATCGCTTTTATAGACACAAATAAAGTAATGATGCGCATCACCGTTAACACTGCTACTATCTCGGTTAGTATTATATGGAGTAAGTAAGTCACGATAAATAACTAAATGCTGATTAGGAAAATACAGTCATTCTCATAGTCTCTGTATGATCTATAAAACAAGAAACGTCTCATGTCAAAGTATTTATATTCCGTTGCGAATCTATATTGCACTGACACAAATAACAATACAATATTAACAAAAAGATAAAATGATTCAATTAATTATGATTCATTAATTTTGAACACGTCCGCATGTTTCACACGAAGACTCGTACGTGTCGTCGGCATCTTCCGCGCAGATCTTATCACTTGCCATTGATGAATTTGACCGATAATGGCCGATAACTAAATATAGCGGCTAAATATAGCGAAGGCGACCAAGTCACGTTTATGTGATAACAGTTGATAACTGCTTGATAGTAAAATCACGTACTTATACGTCACAGCAGTCACGTACTTATACGTCATTGCAAATTTATTTTATTTGGCACGTGATCATATTATTAAAACAATAAGGAAAAGAGCTAATAAGAACATCGTAGTGCAGTAAAAATTCTAAAGCTAGTATATTCTCAGTGGTGATGGAGGAAGTTAGTATATTTAAAAATTCATAAAATAAGGACCAAACGCATTTCAGTCTGTATTCAGACCCTCTTCAGTGGTATATAGACGAAATAACAAACAAAAACTTTAATATGGACGGATATCGAATTATCATGTTACAAATTGTTTAAATTTACTTGTCGGCTATCCCAAATTAGAGGTTAGAGGCGATCCCAAATTACTTATCGTTGCTAAGAGGTAAGCCATTTCTTTTACACACAGAGCCTGTCCTACCGCTTCTCGTGAGCTCATTTGTTTATACATTTTAATTAATTACGGAATAAATATTAAGAAAATTTCAAAATGGTATATAACTTCTATGATTATTTTGACCCGTTCTACCCGGTGGTTGCTCGATCAGTTACTGGACACTCTATAACTTATATATCTTAATATCCGTATAATTTAAATATAAAATATAATGTGGATATATTATATGGATATAAATTAATTCAGAATAAAAAATGCTAATTTTTTATCCATACAACAAACTTGAGAAATTAAAAATAAAAGCTAACAATAGCTATTTTATTAATTGTTAAAGATATTCTTTTTCTTAAACTAGTCCATTTTATTTTTTATAAAAAACCGTACAACTTTTGTCTAAAAAGCTCTTTCCTATCTCCAATAGTTATGAACATAGCGAAAAGGGGATGAAAAAATATGGATCTCTTATTTTTGGCCACTCTATAAATATGCGAAGTTTCATCAAAATTGGATGAAAAAATGTTCCTTGGCAGTTATTATGTCAAATATATGCTATGAAATGTTGCGCAAACATACGTGGAAATAATTATTCTCATCAGAAAGAATAGACTTATTTAATCCCTAACGCAATTACTTTTTGTCACGACATGTAAGCGCCGATTTGAATTGTCAAATTACCGAATTGCACGTGTGCTCTATTAACTAACCTTTCAATTCAATTGCAGCTCGTACTTCTGTATTCCAGTTGGCATTAATTTGCATATTATTAAACCATGACATATATTGCATTTTCACGGAATATAAATATCGGATGCTGTCAAACACGACTCACGCGACTCTTTTCTTTTTACAGTATTATACTTTTGCAAAAAAACGCCATTTTGTACAAATGTTAAGATAAGAAGATAAACGATGTTTAATAAACTGTATTGTGACGCACATGTCATCCTGAATCGACTATAAATACGCGGCAGCAATTTGGATACCATACAGTGCGCAATAAAAAGACCCTCGTAGCACATTTCATACTTTCTTCGATATACTTGGAAAAATACTTGGAAAATCAGAAATAATGCAGATTTCGGTGATTATTATATTTGTGCTTGCCACTGCGGTAAGTAGGAAGAAACATTTGTAGTAACTTATAATTGTTATCATAATCTTTCGTGATACATCGTGTATAAACTCACCATCAATTTTGATATCAAATCGATAAGTGGATTTCTTAATCACTTAAACCTTAAAAGTTTTAAAGCTATTTTAACTATCAATTCGTTTTAGGAGCGTCTTAATGCTTTATTTTATGTATAAATATAAAACATTTCTAGACTGACACAGAAAATAATCATTCTACTACTGAGAAAAGCGATTACTAAGTTTTCTTTCCCTCTTTCAAGTAATAGTTCTTCAATAAAGAATATTTTATTGGCAATAGTCTTGAAATATACATATAAAAAATCTTAGAAATGTTCATCATTATGTGCTCCAAAGAAAAGTTTATTCTCTTTACAAAAATATTATAAAACTTTATCGATGAAGATGTTAGTTCTAGCGTACGTAGTAAGAGAGTAAAAATTGTTTTGATCTAACTTAATATTCTTAAATTAATAAAATTCTGAACGTACTAGGATTTAGAAAGAATTTAAATTAACTTAATAGTTATAATAAATATTTTTGTGATAGATTTACAACTTATATTTGCACTTAGATTTACATATATTTATGCATATATACAAATTTATCAAATATTTGAAACACGTCATATTTTCTTGAATGTACTATTAATTGCAGTGATTGCATTCAATTACTAATCCAATATGATATTTTACATATTTCAATGTGGTTTATGCTTTTAGATAATGACTTACGGTTACAATGTTGACATACTGAAAAAATTCTACGATAATTTCGCAATGTGCAACAAAAAGTTGTGCACGTCGCCGAGTGAGTATAAAAATTGAGAATATTAAGAAAAAGTTAAAAATAGAAAATAGGAAATAAAATAGCTCCATTTAACAAATCTATTGTATAATTTAACAATCACAGATTAGAGAATCGCATTAAGATTGATAACATGTCTTTCATTTTGTTGAAGACAATCATATTGCACTATTGGCACATTTGAAAAACTCAGTTTGATTTTCTGTCTTTTCGATAATAAATCTATCAATTTATATGTCAGAAGTACATGAACAAGCAAAAGATAATAGACGATTTAACTGCAATTGCTTGATTGATTAATAAATTGAGACTTCTATTTTAATATCTAAGTTATAATCATTACTTAAAATAAAATAATCTATATAAGATAGCCTATTCAAAGTCTATCGGGATAAAAGGTTAGTAAAATTAATATTAATAGTAAAGAACATTGAAAACCATTAACCAATCAATATTCTTTGGACAGAGACAGAGATAGTCCCCTATCTAATCGTCTCTTTTCTTTTTGTGTTCGGATACTAAGCATCGCAATTCTCTTTCCAAGATAATAAAATTCACTGTAATATATAGCCTATGTTAGGAGCGAGTTTATAGTATTATGGATGCCTGTGATTATCCTTTTAATCAATTACACTCGATAGTTTCACGTACTCCATAAGAGAAGCGACGATATCACTGTGACGTAGATTAGTTTGCTTTATTTATAATAAACGAACAGACTTCAAAATCTCATAATTTCGTTATTACATTTGGACTGCGTTACAGCTGAGTTCAGTGTCGAAGCAGTCCATTGCGCGTTGCTTAACGATGGCGAGGTACGTATATTTGTATTTAATGTTTACAGTCTCAGTAAACTTTAAACTTAAACGATTGAGTCTCGACATATTTCGATCGATTGCGGTATATTTCACGATTGAAAACAAAAGAGAAATGTATCAATACCATTGCAAATATATTCTCTCGAAAAATTATTTCTACTACGAAATTACAATTAAGCTCGTTGTCGCGTGACGAGCTATTGAAAACATCTTTGCTTATATATAATTAAATTATATTATATTTAATATAATATAATTATATTAAAAAGTTACAAATAATTTAGACCAAATATGGAATAACGTATATTTAAAAATACATGATGCGAATATTTTGTTAATTAGATACGAAAAAGAGTTATACTTATTCGAATCCACGTTTACCAAAGTAAGTGCCATCTTCCGAACTACTGGAGTTAAAACGTCACTTTTCTCCGTTTTAGTAGCATAGTATTTCAATACACATGCAGCATGAGTTTCAGGGAAATTCCAAAAATTTTACCTCATCAAACCACTCATGCAAGATAATAATCATAACAGTTATTATCTATTCCAGATGATTAACGTGAACGGCGAGTTCACAACTAATATAGTTCTACGGAGACTTGGCGATTACATTTCCGAAGCAAGCAGATTAGAACGGGCGCGTGCGATACATATCACGTGCCGTAAAAGAGGTAATCTATTTCATTGACGTTTTGGAAAATAATTTCTGTGACTACTCAATTATTTTTAATTGCAGTGATTAAAACTGGAGCGACCGGTTACGAGCAAACACAAAAAACAATCGCGTGCAGTATGCCAATTAAGGACTTGATTGACAAAATGAATTAAAAACGCCAACCAGATACTTTTTCAAGAAAACGCTAACTGCACGCTCCCGAGTCGTCCCTATAATCTTACGTATATATTCCTTCTATGTCAAATTGTATGTGCCTTAATGATTGAATAAAGTACGTTTGACGAAACGAAACGAATGAATATTCTTCATCGAAGATAACAAATAATAACTATCACATACAGATATATTTTATCACATATGACAACAATAATTTAAGTATTTTAGAATGTAATAAAGCAATTTTCATTTCTTTCTGTGTGTGCTAGCAAAGAAATAAAAATTGCTTTATTACAGTCTTCTTAAAATACTTAAATTATTGTTGTGATATGTGTTAAAATATATCTATATATGATAATTATTGTTAAAATATATCTATATATGATAATTATTGTTTGTTGTCTTCGTTGTCTTATTCTGCTCATAGCCGAAGGTAGGCTGGGTTATGGTAGGTTATAAGTTATTTCGCGTTAGCATACAGAGCACTATTTCGGATAGTTTTTTAGGGTTTTCTAAAGAAACATTCGCCTTTGAAAAGGTCTATTTTCGTAAAATACGTCAGATATGCTTATTTCGTTCTGTATC